TGCTAATGGACTCAAAATCTCAAATACCAATAGTAATTTTGCGCATAAAAGCTTTATTGGAACAGAATTTTCTAACAGCAAAGGAGCCAAGGACTCATGGCTCAAGTGTCAGGGATATCGTTTTGAAAACAATCCCGCTGCAATAGATGCAGCTGATTTCACATCTCAACGAGAACTGGTCCGTGAATCGAGGGAAATTTGGTTCTATGGACCCGCTGGAGTTGATTTTTTCACATGTGACAAGCATTTGTTGAGCGGTGTTACCCTCAGACTTTCCTACAGACGTTCTCATGAAGACTTTCTCATTATATCGGAAGATGCTGCCAAGCATTACAAGCTGCAAATACTCGAAGCGAACCTATATGTTAGAAAAATGACTGTGACCGACCATGTGCTCTCTGCCATTGAATCAACTTTGCTCAAAACTCCTGCGAACTACCCATATCAAGAAGAAATTACAAAAACATTTCTTGCAACAGCTGGTCAGCGCAGCTGGCAACAGGAAGATATTTTTGCTCGTGAACCGGTGAGACAAATTATCATAGCATTGAACACAAATAATGCATTTCTAGGAACAAACCGAACGAATCCTTTTCATTATCAAAATTGGATTGGAGCAAGTTACTTTGAGACGAAATGGTTTACCAATAGCAAGTACACCAATCAGTACACAAGATCATAAACGTCTCTTCTTCAACACACTATCAGCGCTGGGTTTGTTGCACTGCGGGCTGGGAATCACTCTGGATAACTACCAACAGCACTTTATTATGTGTTTTGATCTCACTAGCACACAGCAGGCAGCTCATGACTTCTTGCATCCAGAACTTACTAACTGCTCAGTTTCACTCGATCTTCAATTCTCAAACGCTTTGACAGCAAACCTGGAAATTTTTGTTTGGGGTATACGCTCATCCAATGTATTTATTACCTCCGACCGCAAAGTTATAAAGAACGTCCTTCCCATTTCGACAGTCTGAAAATGGATGAAATCCAGTTGCAGGACCTCATTCAGAATTGTAAACATCTGAAATATAAGTTTTTTGGAGTATTTGCAGCCGACAATTTTCCACCTCACATCCCAAACAATATCTTTATGATTGTGAACACTTCAAAATCAGATTCTCCGGGGACACATTGGATTGTGATATGCAACAGAAGAAATGTTTTATACTTCGCTGATCCTCTTGGTCTTCCTCTTTGGCAGTACACCAATCTGTATAAACGATTGAACGAGAATTTTCACCAGGTGACTGAATTGATGACAAACTTTCCCATGCAAGACTCAAACTCTACCATGTGCGGTTCTTTTTGTATTTATATTGCACATTTGATTTTTGATAAAAACTTTAATGGTGATGCTTCTGATTTTGTTTACATAACTGATCATGTTTTGAAACGTTTCCTAAAACTCACATGCTTACCCATTAACTAACCATTTAATATAGTTGATTTATACATTTTACAATTTAATTTTGAACAATACATTCTTTTAGTAATTGAAATTTTACCCAATTGTTAACTGAATAGCAGTAATTCGAGAAGTTAAGTTTTTTATCAAAGTGAGAAAAAAAGTACAAAATCGATCTATGGGGGGATATCACCATACCAGCAACTGTTGCCTCCTTTCAGTACAATTTCCGGACGGGTTTCGAAACGCCGCCTTTCGGCTGAGAGTCGAGCGCCATGCGTTTTCCTCTACTCGGGCCCCAAGAAATTTTGTTCCACTTCAATTTTATAGTAACAAGTTAGGTACAAGTCTTAGAAATGATTGCAGCAAAATTAATGGGCACTTTTGGCTTTCATCAGTGTTCTCGTTTTTCAAGATCTTTAGACACTTCAACCTTTTAGCTCTTTCAATCTTTCTATAAAATCAAAGCTTTTGTCATAGATTTTAGACGTTTTTTTTAGTCTCCTGTAGACACGGAAAATGGAAATGTCGAAATTTTCAAGCCAATTTCATTAGTTTAGAGTTTTCAGTGTTTCGTAATTTTTCCTTATTTTTTAGCTTCATTTGGCTTAAAGTAATTTTTCATTCTTATTTTGGTCAAATTGCCTATTAATTTTTGTCTAAATAGAGGTGGCGGCCGCCGCACTTGACGAATTTTCCTTTCTTCGAGATTCAGCAATAAAACATGCATTTTTGAAGGAAATCGGTCACCGCAGCCAACAGTTAAGCTACGCTGCCAAAATCTTGTGCTTTCCTATATACCATATAGTTTGGTCACATATAATAGGTATATAACGTCATTTTACATGTAAACAAACCAATACCCCCAACTTTAGAAGGGAAAACATGCACCGACCAAAACATAATTCCATTCCCGTTTCCACAACGTTCAGTGGGAATACTCAATAATATACCGAAGTTTTACATGAGGACTATTAGGTATAAAATTATACATGGTGACAATTAGGATTATTACATAGTGACCATTAGGTATAAAATTATATATGGTGACAATTAGGATTATTACATGGTGACCATTGCTGATCATTCAATACATGGTGACCATTATGATTTATACCTAATGGTCATCCATGTATGACAACCCCCCCCCCCCCCCGATCCTAACGCACTATATGCATACTACTCTAAGCTCTTTGTCTCTTTTCGATCATCCCTACATTGCTAAAAGAAAATCTTGTATTTTCATTTTCCTGCAGTCCTATCTGTTCTAAGCTGACCGTGCGATTCTCCTTACAAGAACTAGAAAGTGACGAACAACGAGCAGAGGCTGAATGGCTTCCTGTTGGCTTTCAAGCTGGTCAAGCAACTGCCTCCTTCGAACCCCAACTCCTACTAGTCAATTGCCACTTTCCACGGCAAACCATTCAAGCCACGCCCTGAAAAGTTCGACGACTGCAGAGAATATGTAGGTCATATACACATCGATTATCATTGAATCATTAAGTTGTTCTATGTTTTTGTAACTGGTTTAAAATTCCTTGTTTTTATAATTGGTCCCAACGAGAAAAAAACAAGTTAGTGTGAAATTACGTTTCTTGGCAAGTTGCTCATTTAAAAAGTTCCAACAGATTCACTGTTCGCACCTTATTCGCTAAATGTTGTAGTTTGCTTCAAAGTATAATACTTTTATTCTGTAAAAATTATACATTTTTGTGTACTGAATTTCATCGTAAGTAAAATTCAGTCAAGCTTGAGCAAACTGAATATTCGCTTTCATGTTTTTCAGCAGTGAATCGGCTCTTTTTAGCGCCGCTCGAGTTTCAATAGGCTTAAACTATTTATTGATTTTTCGAAGAAAGCATTCAATCTCAATTTCCTTTATTTGTTGTTCACGTTTCCAACAGAATTTTTTCGGGCTAGCAAGTTGTTAACAAAATCATTTTGAATCATTTGATAGCTTGGCTTATAAATAAATGTTTTTTTCTTTCTTTGGTCTAGAGGTGACGACAAAGACTGGGAATGCAAAAGACCTAGGATCGAATCTGTCCGGGACCTTTTTTTAAATGAGAAATATTCCGTTTCGAAAAAAAATGTTGGCCTATTGTTTGTGTGCTTAGGTTTTGTTTATTTAGTCGCCACATCCTGGATTTGCCGCATTCTGGCTGTAAGCACATTGCATTGTACTTAAAAAGTTTTTAAACTACCTGTAAGCCGTAAGTTTACTGAATCTGCTTTTTTCCTTTTTGTTCTGTTTTAGGTAAAAGTTTTATTTGCCTCAATTGTTTCGGCTTATGTTCTATCGGCTTTTTACCGAGTTTTGCCTCGTTTGAAAAGATAATAATTTTTTATACTTGGTGTGTTTCCGGAGGGTGTTTCATAAGTTTTGACAACAGTTGTGCATTCGGCTCAACGGCAGTTTACACGACTTTTTGCTGACTTGGATGCCACTCAATGAATGTTTCTGAAGACTTATTATCCACCGGTGTTTGTGTTTTCGTTCCAGTGTTCCTCAAATGGAACATCAGTCGAGACAAAAATTTGAAACTGTTTTTTTTTCTGTTTGAAAGCTTGCAATGCTATGTTTGAGTAATAACGCAAGCTTGCCGAGCTTTTTCTCTGCGATTAAGCCTAACACTGATTTCATACAAGCGATTATCCGGTGTTATCAAGTGTTTATGAAACTTTGGGTCTGCATAATTTCAGTTCTCAGACTAAATTAGAAAAAGTTTGATTAAAGGTTGAACACTCAAGCTTAATTCTAATACAGTTTTAAATTTATTTTGATTTTTTAGACAACTAAATTGCAGAAACAAAACTTTTGTTCCGATTTTTGCTCCGAGTTAAATATCGTATTTCGTATAGCTTAAATCAATCTTCAGAGTCAAATTTCAAATAAATTGACTCTATAAACTAGAAGTTTATTAACTAAAGATGAACATCAACAATTGTGAACAAAAATGTTTGTTGATATTTTTGAATTTATTTTGTATACAATAGGTTGTCAACAATCATCGATTTTGAGCCTTTTAATGCATAAAACCCAAAATTTTTACTTTTTTGACTGAGAAAATAGATTTGTATTTTTTCATTCTTTTTTTTATTCGATTCTTCATTTTTTAACCGATTCTTTCCGGTTTACTTGACTAACTTTGTCGAAGAATTTTCAAATTTTGATTTTTTTTACTGTTCGTCACGATTTTGCATATGAATGAGTGTTTCCCATGAAGGTTTTTGGTTAATTATACAAACTATGAGACTAGCTTTGTCAGCTTTGTGCTAATTATAGTCAAGTGGGTTATATGACAAGCTTTTTTTTAGTTGGGAACAATTGAATCGCTTTTTTCTTGGTTTTTATTTTTTCACATTGAAAAGCTGTGATAATGTAGTCCTTTGTTTTTTTTTCTACAAGAGGTACACTTCGTGTTGGTTAATTTTAAATCCGTTTAAATTACTTTGAAATTGAAAAAAGATGTATTTTATTCTTCTGTCTGAATTTTTCGGGCTGCAATAATTGGGTTTTTCAAAATAAATAATTGCAAATTATAAGTAAATGTGCTTAAAAAGGTAAATGTTCATAAATTTGTTGTAGCACTGGGACAGTTTCTGTCAACACGACAATGTCTTGTTTCCCATCTGGCATCGCTTTTACTGTCTTCGACTAGAGCATGCACTTGAAACTGTATTCCTCGACGGAGAAGTGGCACTGCACTACTGGGACGACAAATCAATTCCTAAAATCCGAACTCAGGAAGAAGTCTTAATTGATGGAGTAGTCCAAAGGAACTCTCTGTTGGACTTGGTGATCTCTAGGGGTATTGGAACTGACCCTCAATGTCATTTTACAAAACCATACGGGTACCAGACTGTGCGATGTCCCTATTCTGGCATAGTGGGTAAAATGTCTAAGCAGCACAATGAGAGCGTGAAAGAGAAAGACGAAGAATATTTTCCAAAGAACTTAGAAATTTGGATGCACGAGAAATCGATGAGGTCAGAGAACGGAAGTGTTTCCGAATTATTCAAAAGTTGTTTGGAGAATGACAACTACAATACTTTTTCAAACAACAAGTCAGCAGGCGATGATATTGCGCTGGAGCAGCCCCACGATAATGTCCATATTACAGTAGCGGGATGGGGAGATCTATACGCGGCTGAAGATGACTCTCCTCAGGTAGATGATCCAATTTTGTATAAAATTCAGCCTATAATCGAAATTCACTAGCTAATTTTAAGTCTGATAAGAGTACAGAATATTCTTAAAATCTAACTGAAAACGATTTTTAGCTTTTATTGCGGTTTCGGCGGCACACTTTTTTCTTGATACTATTTTGGAATAATTTTCGTGCTCATTAATTGTGACCAAAGACTGCTGACATCAAATATTGAATTTATATAACAAAAATGTAATCTCTTTTTCTGGACGCTGGGAAGACTTGTCGGAATTTTCACTGAAACTAATTTATTATTCTTTTTGTTTCCGTACCATCTTTCTTTGGTCTACCTAAAGCTACTTGGAAAAACATTACGAAATTCATCTACTTCTAGCAATGGTGGAGGAAATTAAGTATAATTACCAAGGATTGTTTTCTGTGCATTTCCAAAATTTTTGATGGCGTTTTTTGAGGTCAGCAATTTTTATTCCGAATTTCGAAGAAAATGACGGAATATCTGTGCTCGGGGTGTTTTTTTCTCCAGACCAATGTCGACTTTTGAGCTAGACTTTTTTGGCGGGTTTTTATTATAGCATGTGAAAGTTACTGTTGTTCATATCAAATATAAAAACATTATTTCAACTGTGATCTTTTTTTGCTAAGTTATGGGGTTTAAAGATTTGGAATCTATCCGGCCATTACAGAACAATCAGACTACGTTTGGGACCCTGAATGGGCTCATCTTACATATATAAATATCCCACAATCTATCTCAAGTCAAGCAATAAGTACAATATCTTATCACAGAGATTATGTAAAAGTAATACCACTAACCATTGATGCAACACCATTAAACTACAATACATTTTTACCTGATACACGAAATAACAGTTTAAATTCGACCGTCATACACAATGAAAACCTTAATGGAACTAGAAATCTTACACAACAAGATATTCAAACACCATCACACTTCATAAATGAAGAAATTGTCCAAACAACAACAACTACACAACAAAGTATTTCACCAATACACCCAAATTTAACAACACCAAGAAATACAAATACTTCACTGGCACAAGTAACCTTACAATCAACCGTTAAACCTTCGGTTGCTCCAAAATATTCGCATATGGATTATCAAACATATAGACAAATGACAGTACCGTCAAAAACACGAAAATCATTCACAGGAAACACCTTTGCAGAACATAAATATAATTATGCTCACAAACAAAGAACAAATCAACCTCCCCGAAAAAATACACAAAATTTAAATCACGTAAGTTCTCATTATTGGAAACTCCCGAAAACATCGACGAATTCAGTAAATTTTCCAGATAATCCACATCCTACACAGGATTATACTGAAAAATACCCATTCTTCCAACAAAATAAAAATAACCAACATACACCATTTAATACAAACTATTTATCATCCGATGAAGATGATTATCACCAACCAGATATTTTTGCACCATATACTAAAGAATATCGCACACAAAGACCACGACAACCTCAACCATCTCGAAATATAAAAATTTACCCACAAAACCCAACAGATGTACAACATCCACAACAAATGCATATACAAAAGCCATTTAACACACAATCTTTTCCACCAATACAACCACAAAATCCAGTGTCAAGGCATTCTTATCAACCAACTCAAATGCAAAATGAAATACCGCTTCCATATTACCTTCAGCAACACGAAATAACAAAAAATCAACTTTCAAATTTCTCGCAAATGCCAAATGCCGCAGAATCACTACAGATGACAATGAATCCATACCTCATGGGTGAATCATCAATAACGTCCAATAAACCACTGATGGTATTTACAGGAACAGATCCTGAATATTCTGTAGAAGATTATTTAAATGCATTAACAGCAAATTTAATTTTAAATATAGGACCTGAACCAAATAATACGCCACTACATCAAAATTGGATACATAGACGCACAGCATTGATACAAACAACCTTAGATGGCGCAGCTCAAAAATGGTTTTCAGTATTACCTATAGAAATAAAATCAGACTGGAAAAGTTTTACACAAGAATTTTCAAAAGTGTTTGACTCCCGAAAGAAATAAACAACACCAAAGAGTTTTATGTAATGAAATTCGCAGATTACCAAATGAAACCACCAAACAATTAGCAGTACGCATCAAAACACTTGTTTGAAAACCATATTCACTTAATACACATGACTATAAAAACACAAAAATGACAGAAATTTTAATGATGACCTTAACACCTCAATTAAGGAAAATAGCAATAAAAAAGAGAGCATCTCATCCTTCCTCAATTCGAGAGCCAGATTTAGATTTTCGAAAACTAGTAGATAAACTAGAGCAAGCGGAAATCTCAATGAAACTTGAAGAAACAGAAAATCTAAAACTACAGTATGTTAATCGAATTGAAACAAACACTACACAAATAAATAACATACAGGAATCAGATACAGACCTAATTGAAAAAATCACTGAAATACTAAATATCTATGAAAAACATCCAAATTTTAAAGGCAAACCATCCTTCAAAAAATGGTGTAATTATTGCCGACGATACGGACACAGTATTTCCGAATGTAGACAAAAACAACAAGATAATCAGAATAAACCTCAAAAGCATAAAGAACCAAATAAATCGTTCTATCAATATATGAAAAAAGATCAAAATCTACCAAACAAAAATATATATAGTAATAACAGTTCAGGAAAACCACTTCCGAACAACACCAATTACACAAGGAATCAATCACCATATAACTCAAGTTATAGAGGAAGATCACCAGAACGATGAAATACACAAAATTCTTCACAAAACAATTATAATCGACGAAATAGTCGAAATAACTATTCGAGATCAAATTCCAATGCAACACAATTTGTTTCTAGATCCAGTTCCCAATCCAATCCAAGAAATAAACACTATTCGAATAATCAATCACGAAACTCATCATACAACAGGAATAGAAACTATTCACATAATAGAAATAGAAGTTATTCGAACAATCGAAATCAGAATTACCCGAACAATCGATCAAGAAATAATTCGTATAATAGATCAAACTATCACAGATCAAATGACAATTGTGACCAAAGACTGCTGACATCAAATATTGAATTTATATAACAAAAATGTAATCTCTTTTTCTGGACGCTGGGAAGACTTGTCGGAATTTTCACTGAAACTAATTTATTATTCTTTTTGTTTCCGTACCATCTTTCTTTGGTCTACTTAAAGCTACTTGGAAAAACATTACGAAATTCATCTACTTCTAGCAATGGTGGAGCAAAGTAAGTATAATTACCAAGGATTGTTTTCTGTGCATTTCCAAAATTTTTGATGGCGTTTTTTGAGGTCAGCAATTTTTATTCCGAATTTCGAAGAAAATGACGGAATATCTGTGCTCGGGGTGTTTTTTTCTCCAGACCAATGTCGACTTTTGAGCTAGACTTTTTTGGCGGGTTTTTATTATAGCATGTGAAAGTTACTGTTGTTCATATCAAATATAAAAACATTATTTCAACTGCGATCTTTTTTTGCTAAGTTATGGGGTTTAAAGATTTGGAATCTATCCGGCCATTACAGAACAATCAGACTACGTTTGGGACCCTGAATGGGCTCATCTTACATATATAAATATCCCACAATCTATCTCAAGTCAAGCAATAAGTACAATATCTTATCACAGAGATTATGTAAAAGTAATACCACTAACCATTGATGCAACACCATTAAACTACAATACATTTTTACCTGATACACGAAATAACAGTTTAAATTCGACCGTCATACACAATGAAAACCTTAATGGAACTAGAAATCTTACACAACAAGATATTCAAACACCATCACACTTCATAAATGAAGAAATTGTCCAAACAACAACAACTACACAACAAAGTATTTCACCAATACACCCAAATGTAACAACACCAAGAAATACAAATATTTCACTGGCACAAGTAACCTCACAATCAATCGTCAAACCTTCGGTTGCTCCAAAATATTCACATATGGATTATCAAACATATAGACAAATGACAGTACCGTCAAAAACACGAAAATCATTCACAGGAAACACCTTTGCAGAACATAATTATAATTATGCTCACAAACAAAGAACAAATCAACCTCCCCGAAAAAATACACAAAATTTAAATCACGTAAGTTCTCATTATTGGAAACTCCCGAAAACATCGACGAATTCAATAAATTTTCCAGATAATCCACAACCTACACAGGATTATACTGAAAATTACCCATTCTTCCAACAAAATAAAAATAACCAACATACACCATTTAATACAAACTATTTATCATCCGATGAAGATGATTATCACCAACCAGATTTTTTTGCACCATATGCTAAAGAATATCGCACACAAAGACCACGACAACCTCAACCATCTCGAAATATGAAAATTTACCCATAAAACCCAACAGATGTACAACATCCACAACAAATGCATATACAAAATCCATTTAACACACAATCTTTTCCACCAATACAACCACAAAATCCAGTGTCAAGGCATTCTTATCAACCAACTCAAATGCAAAATGAAATACCGCTTCCATATTACCTTCAGCAACACGAAATAACAAAAAATCAACTTTCAAATTTCTCGCAAATGCCAAATGCCGCAGAATCACTACAGATGACAATGAATCCATACCTCATGGGTGGATCATCAATAACGTCCAGTAAACCACAAATGGTATTTACAGGAACAGATCCTGAATATTCTGTAGAAGATTATTTAAATGCATTAACAGCAAATTTAATTTTAAATATAGGACCTGAACCAATTAATACGCCACTACATCAAAATTGGATACATAGACGCACAGCATTGATACAAACATTCTTAGATGGCGCAGCTCAAAAATGGTTTTCAGTATTACCTATAGAAATAAAATCAGACTGGAAAAGTTTTACACAAGAATTTTCAAAAGTGTTTGACTCCGAAAGAAATAAACAACACCAAAACTTTATGTAATGA